ACACGCACACACAGACCACGTGATCTGAGACCGTGGCTGTTTCCTGATTGGTCACAAAGAGGAAGTCAGACGGACACTTGAGATCATTTTATTTTCTTAAACCATCGTTGACGAGTGAAAGCTGCAGTTACATGGAGTCCACACAGTCCCGTCTGTGGGAGCGATACTGTACACGCTTCACTTCTACCTGTGTTTTTAATGCTGCTTCAGGTTCATGGAAAATTACACATCAACACATAAACTTCTCTCAAGTCTTAACCTTGTTCTCACATCAGCCTCCACCTGATTTATAAAAAGTAGCACCTGACTGGAGGGAAAGGAGCGTGGGCGGGGTCTGTGAGGGGAGTCGAGCAGCGAGGATAACGGGATGTGCTCTGGAGGGAAAACTACGGAGGCCCTGAAAGGTCACAGTAACGTTCACGTTTCCTGTGAGCTGGATTATGATACAGCACCGTGCATCTCTGAGAACTGAGCACCAACCTGCAATCTCTCCTGTGCCCAGCAGAGGCAGCAGTGAGTGAGTCGCCATAGAATCGCACGTTAAACCTTTCCAGCCTGTTTTAAAGTTTGCGTTACAGGGGGCGTGGCCTCTTTGACTGAGGCTAACTGTACAAACAGCAAGTCCCGAATTTGTATGTCTCACTTTTTTATGTTTCCTAATGTGGACGAGGACAAACCAGTGCGATGAGCAGCGACCGTGTCAGCTGTTACAGGTCACACCTGCTGGGACTGAGACTTAGGCGATCGTTCCTGTGACCTTTCTGGGCCTCTTTAAATCGAACATGCGTGTAAACAAACAAAAAGCAGGCGACAGATGACTGAAAGCGTTCGAGCAGTTTCCCTGATGGCGGCGGGGGAGGGCGGGTAAATGCTGTGACTAATTCATTGAGTGGCCTCGGCAGGTTTCCTTATGCGTGTTCAGCCGTGACGCTCTCGTCCTCCTCATCTGATCTTCGTCCCACACAGGCTCTGACACTCCTCCTGCGTCAGGAAGCGGTTCTTGTTGCCGCCGCAGCCGCCGTACCAGAAGCGAGCGCACTCCTTCTGTGCGGCGTCAAAGAACCACATCATCGTGTAGTTGTCGCAGCTGCCCCGGTCCTGAGGGAGGATACAGGAATCTGGAGGACAACAGGAGACGGATATTAGAGCACTGCAGAGCGAGACGTGACCCGAAACATCTCAACATGCACACTCGTCCTTGTTAGAACAACCGGGAAATAGCTCCTCCTCTTTCCTTCTTTCTCGCTGCCTTTTTTAACTTGTATTTATTGGCACAAACATCGTGTGTGCGCTCACACTGTTCAGCTGTCACCGCTGTCCATCGCACAGGCGGGTCTTACCTTTAGAGGCGAAGCTGGCAGGCAGAGTCTTCTCCACCACATTGGGATCTGCGAGCGAGGACAGAGTAAAGTCAGAGAGGCGATAGCTGTGCAGGCGAGCAGTGATGAGGGCTTCTCACAGGTCGGCGTGTTCTGTCACTGAGCAGGAAGTACTGGCACGTGAGAAGAAGAGCGTCACTTTTACTGTGACCTTTGTCCCCACGTACATACATGTGTATGCATGTCCGTGTGCAGACGGAGTCTGAGCGTGGACAGCAGTAGCAGAGGGCGTGTTATCAGCGCGACCACAGAGGACTTTAGTAGGAAGCAACACGCAGAGCATCCTGTTAGCTGTCCGCTGATAGCAGAGGTTAGTGGGTCCACAGACGTGGAGCGGTCAGCTTGTGTGCAGTCTGGACTTACGCTGGTTCCCACATGTCTGGAAACATTCATATTCCGTTCTAAAGCGGTTGGCGTTGCCGCCGCAGCCGCCATACCAGAACCGAGAGCATGCACCGACGTTTGTGTCAAAGAACCAGGCTGTGGCGTATTTCTTACACTGGTTGCCGATATCAGCGGGCAGCTGACACCGGGCTGAAAGCAGAACACACACATTTACTACAAACAGGCAGCGGCTCCAGCACAGACTGACTGAACGCCTGCATTCCTTCTGATGACCAGCAGGAGGCGACTCAGGAGGAGGAAGCTTTGGGAGAAAGTCTCTTTTTTGAGGGAGGGATGCCAATTTTTCCCCACTGTGACCATACTGCCACGGCCCCAAGAAACACCTTCAAACATAAAGATACAGCGACGGAGCAGTCGGCTGCAACTCTGGGGTTCAGATTCTGAAACCAGAATTTATCCACCTGAGCCAGTGTTGTTGTTAGCAACCTTTATTCCATCATCAGCTCTGTCATCCATCATGGCTGACAAACCAGCACACCCTCCTACCCCGAGCTCCTGTACGTGATGATGGTCCGCCTCCTTGAGTTGCTTTTACTGCCTCTGAGAGAATGCAGGCTACGTCCGTCTTTTACGTACAGTCTGTGGCTGAGATCCGCTGCTCATGCAGTCGAACAAAGACACGAGGTTAAAGCATACATGACACGCGACATGCCCACCACATCTGTGCAGCTGCTGAAGGAGAGAACATCTGTACACACTTTAATGAAATGAGTTTGTCTGAACCCTGCACACGACGTCCTCTATTGTATAGAATTCATTTACTGTGTATATGTTGTACTCGTATTACCGTGCATGTGACAAATAAAGAATCTTTTCCTGCTGAACCTCAGAGGTCAGAGGTCGTGTACCCCTGCCATTATGTAAGGCGTTGTCAGAGCGGTCCTTCACCTGCAGCAGTGTGTCTGCGCCGTGTGTGCGGCTACCTTTGGCGTGCGTGTCAGAGATGACTTTCTGGCCGTTTCCTCTGATCAGAGCGTCGATGACGTCCAGCTGCCCGGTCTGAATCTGTCCTCCGGTCTGCTCCTGGAAGTCCTCCTCCACCTCCTCTCCAAACACGTCCTCCAGCTGTGCCACGCCCTGACTGAACACAGCGACCACATGTGTGGACACACTATCACCATGTGAGAGCCTTTCAGCTTCCTAATGCACAACAACTCTTCTTGATTCTCCCAAAGTCAAACATCAACCAAGAATTAGAAATTTCAGGAGCTGCAAACTTTCATTTTAGCTGAGGCCCACGTGATGGCGAGTGTGTGATTTACCCCGTTATGAATATCTGTCCTCCCTCCTGGCCGCCCAGCTGGTCACATGCTCGCCTCAGAGAGGGAGGAGGATACGAGGTGACTCCCTCTGAAACAATCACGGGACAAAAACAGTGATGGTGAGATATACTCTGCGGTGAAACGGGAAAGGAACTGATGGTTACCGTGAATGTTTAAAGGAAAGTCTGAAATGATAAATGATAATGACCCCTTCCTTCAGGTGTTCCAGAACACCAGTAATCTAATCTGACTGCTGCAGATGGGAAACATCTTACTGTTGAGGGCGGAGAGGAAGACCCTGATGAAGCGCTGGGCGTAGCCCTGCTCGTCGGCCTTCAGCCTGTCGAGTCTGATCAGGTGCTGCTGTATCGGCACGCTGGCCAGCTCCTCCACCTCCGTCCGGTTGTAACGATCACCCACCGTCACCACAAACAGCGCCACCCCCTCACACTTGGCCTTCTGGGAGATGTAGCGCAGCTTAGCCTGGTCTCTGTAGGCCGTCTTGGTGCCCACCACAGTCAGGACGGCCCTCTTGCTGCGCGGCTGGCCGGCCTTCAGCAGCACCTCCCTCAAGGTGTAGTCCAGCATCTGTCCCAGCGCCAAAGAGCCGCCCTGCTGCTGCATGTTCTGCATCATGTACGTCTTCATGTCTCCAGCATTCTGGTAGGTCTGCAGGCCGAACTCCACCTTGGTGCTCTGTTGGACCAGAGCTACTCGGGCCTGGCGGCCGGCTCGGCGGGGCTGTGGACTCACGGCCAGCTGCTCCACCACAGAGCTCAGCAGCTGCCGGGCACCGGCGTATTCATCGGCCTGGATCTCCCTGGAGCTGTCCAGCACCATGACCAGGTCCACATCCGCCTGCTGAGGCAGCACTGGTTCCTGGATGAAGGCGCACTCCTCTGCACGCCTGCAGGGGTCTGCAGAGACATCAGAAAGCGTGATGCTGATGACAGGAAGCTACAAAAGCTACAAGTGACCCGTCGTGTTTGTGCACATCAGATCTCGGACTACTCGACAGGAACCAGGATGCTGTGGCACAGAAGCATTTAGAAATGACGCCAGCATATTCTAATTATTGAACCTCATGGAAGGTCTAACAGTGTGCTCTGATATCAGCCAGCATGCTGTTACCCATGGGTTCAAAGGTCAACAGGAAACACAGCACACACTGGCACTGTGCACACAGATCCATCAGATCATTCATTATGCATTTATTATCACTGACTCTCAACCCCGAGTACTGAAAACACGTTCTGTGGCAAAAAGACTGCAGTGGTCTCATTTTTCATGTACAAGGAGTCAGTATTAGTTTGACAGCGTTCTGCTCGCCTACGCTGTCAACCACGAAAAGTCAGAAAACGATGCTCACCGTAGCAGATGGCGCAGTTCCTGACCTTCCTGAGCCCAGTGGCCCGTTCTCCCAGCACCGTGAACACAAAGTTTCTCGAGTCATCAACCTGATGGGAAACATTGAACAAAGCGCTGAGTACAAGGTTACAATGAAATCTACTCATTAGACATCGTTGTTCAGACTCAAACGATCTTAAGTGATTGAATCTGAGCTTCCTTTGTTTGCAGAGACGCTCGCAGTGAAGCATCGGCTGTTTGTTCTGCAGAGCCGGATGTTGTCCTGATGTTTCCACGTGTGAAATGTGTTAGTTTGATCTTAGTGAAAGGAGAGCAGAGCGGTCCTGGAGGTGCACCATCAGTGGCTCATGCTTTACTTTCTCCTGGAGAGAGGAAAGTTGCAAAGTCAGCACCGGTCCTGGTCCATCACTTCTGCTCAACATATGAAGTACAGCGTCGTGGAAAACTCTTTATCCCCGTCCTAATGTCTTTGGTCTGCGGGAGTTTTCTCCTGGGATCGCTCCCACGGAGGCCATGTTGTTCTGGGTTCTTCTGTGACCTCCTGGTTGAATCGTTGATGCACTCTTGGAGTCTTTCGCTTGTCCAGTTGCTCCTGAGAAGGTTCAGCATGTTCCAGGTTTTCTCCATGTGTGGATTATGGCTCTCGCTGTGGAGTCTCACAGCCTTAGAAATGTCTCTGTGAACTTACTGGCTTTGTTTTCAGCTGCTTCTGTAGGTCTTGGTGTGATGTGATCTTTTAGCCTGCTTTACTTTGTCAGACAGCTTCTAACTAGGAACTAATTGTACTGATTCATAAAGGTGCAAACTACAGCCAAGATGGCGCCGGTGCACATGGCTTGCCGTCCTCGGCTGTATCTGTTTCGCTGCTTTTTACCCTCTTTACGCTCTTTTACGGACCTTGGCATTGTACTTTTGATCCTTTTAGTTGTATGCTCATCTAATGGCTGAGCACTGAATACAGGCAAACACTTTTAAATCTAAGACTCTCCCATTCCTCTCGGGCTGATCCTTGCTGGAATCTGGGCGACGCCACCGCGCCCCAACTGGACCCTCCGACCGGCTTCTTCCACCTACCTCTTCCTAACCAAGAAACGCTAAAGGAAATGCGCGTTCGCCTCAGGGTCTACTTTAAAGCCAGAGCACCGGCTACCCACATGCCAGCCTGGACATTTGATCTTTTTCCCTCCTTCCAGGAGGTTAACTTAGGCACCTTCTCCTCTTCCCCTGCACCGGTCTGGTAGGGGTGGCGGCATAGCCTCGGTTTTTAAAATTCATATGCAGTTCGGCAGCTACCCTCACCTACCTACTCTAGTTTTGAAGTCCAGTTATTGGAGATGACTGCATCCACGACCACACTCTGCGTGGT